CCACAACACGATGATCAGTGAGTGCAACTGGTGCGTTGGAGATAAGGTGTACCTAAATTTAGCTAATATAGAGATACCATGTCTCACATCTTCTATAGTTACAAATCTATTATTGTTACTTTTAGCATTCCACTCTTAAAGAAACAGAAATTCAGCGAAGAGATCTCCTTTCTTGACTTCATGAGTGGTCATTCCATGTCATGAATTAGCAGAAGTTGGAATTTCTAGAATATTAGATCGCGTCCTAGTGGCTTAATGCCTGCTAGTTCACCTTGTAACGTGAAAGTCGTGGCTATCGAGAGTAGAAGATATGAAAAGGCCGGCTAGCTGTATTTGATCATAGGTGCCTGCGTTCTGTCTCCCTTAGAGTAATCAATACTGAAGTTAGGCGTCGAGTGTTAGTGAGGTAAGGAGGAGAAATCAATACACAAGGTTTTGAAGTTACATCGATTGAGATGGTTAGGACATGTGTTACGTGTGCCTAGTCATCACTTTCCTTGACAACTGGCAATGTTATCTGACATAGGATGAATCAAGTTGGAAAAAAGCTAGAGGTGGTCAAACCAAAATACGGCACCAGTCCACTGGAGTCCACAACAGTTAGTTTAAATCAGCCAGTCACGTACGAAGGAAGATGCAAACTTCTTGACTGGTTGGGGTCCTCGGGAAGGTAAAAATCAATGGCCGGAAACAATCAGTGATATGGCTCATTGTTCTCAATGTCTGCTGTAAATGCATCCACTCCTTGTCACTTATAATACCCAATAAAATTATAATGTTCTTCGATACTACTATTCTTTTCGCCTCCTATATCTGTTTAATGTCTCTATTTTGCATTTCGTGTGTACATGAGGTTTGTCAAGTTTAGATAATTGATCAGGTAATACAAGAATGATCTAATATAGAAACAAGGTCAGCTAGTCAGTAACTAAAGTGAGATTGAGTTAGTTAGTAAGTTAGATGACGTAATATAAAATGACTAAAATGTTTCAACTTAGGTCAGAGCAGCAACCGAGGTAATTACAGGTAGAAGAGACTAAGTAGAGGTGGGGTAGAGAATAATGCCATTTAAATTAGAACTGAAATTGGAGCGAATGAACTCTGCATACAGAAGTTCGTTTAGTCACTACACTTGCAATATACGTAATCTGTCTTATTACCTGACACGTAAATTCTACCTAATCTCTTCTTTTTTCTGTCTCTTCATTAGTTTTATTTTGTCTTCTCAATTGTAATATTTTGCATATTCAACTCTCCTGTTTTCTACACCCGTCCGATTTAATTTCTGTACCTCATTACCACCGTTACTAACTTGACCAACGCTCAAATTCTAGTCACTCATTTATGTTACGTCATCCAGTTTATTTGCTCAATTTCAGTTCTAATTTAAATGGCATTTCGAACACTAAATCCAAAAAAATACAATCTTATTGACAGATAATACATATAACTAACCATTTGGATTTGTGAAATTTTTTAAACATAAACACATCTATAATTGTATATATTGTTGGATTTACATGTTCAAGTTGCTCCAAGTCAGTGAGTTTATGGTTGAGATATCATTTTAGTTAACTGTGCTGAACTATATTGCATGTTGTCTTATTGTATAGTTGTCGTCGCTTTTTGCCCTTTTTTCTGTAAACTGTTTCCTTTTGTTGACGTTGTTCTCATTGTTTGCCCGTTATTTTCTGATTTTGAGGGGAGCAACCCAAAAAGTCGCTTCTCTCTAAACTTTAACTTAATGTAATCATCCCTTTCTCAGGCGTGAGGCTAGCAACCCCACCCTGTAAACAAAAAATTGCTACAGAACCTTCAGCAGAATGGAGAAGGTGTGGAAAGAGGGCAAAGTACCCGAGGATTGGAAGAACGGATACTTATTCAAACTACCAAAGAAAGGAGACTTAAGTCAATGTAAAAACTGGCGTGGAATTATGCTTCTGTCCATTCCAAGCAAGATACTAAGTCGCATCATCCTGGAGAGAATCGAACACGCCAGCTTGGATCAAAACTTCGTCCGGAACAGGCCGGATTCAGGAGAAACAAATCATGTATTGATCAAATCGCCACTCTACGGATCATCATTGAACAAAGCTTGGAATGGCAGTCACCTCTCTATCTCAACTTCATCGACTGTGAAAAGGCCTTCGACAGCGTCAGTCGAGAGGTCATTTGGCAACTACTTCGCTACTACGGGGTCCCATCGACAATTATACATCTCATCCAACAGTTATAAGACAATGCTGCATGCCAAGTAATCCACAACGGGAAACTTACGGAGGCCTTCGATGTGAGGACGGGAGTGAGGCAAGGCTGTCTACTATCACCAATGATCTTCCTGATTGCAGTAGATTGGATAATGCTACAGACAACGGCAACCAACGAGGGAACAGGCATAAAATAGACTGACACAAAAGACTTGGAGGATCTGGATTTCGCCGATGATATATGTCTGATTTCCCACAAACTGGAAGATATGCAAGTGAAAAGTAACAAGTTGGCACAAGAAGCATCAAAGATAGAACTTAACTTCAAGTGAACATAGATAAAACAGAGGTGATGAAGATTCCTAGCCAACATCAGCAGCCACAGAGACAACAACAGAAAACAATCAGCATAAGTGGGAAGAACCTGAAAGAAACAGCCTCCTTCACCTACCTGGGAAGCATCGTCTCAACTACAGGCAAAACTGACGAGGATATCAAAGCCACAATCGGAAAAGCAAGACAAGCTTTCATTACTCTCAAATCTGTGTGGAGGTCAACAGCACTCAGCATCAAAATTAACATCCGGATTTTCAACTCCAATGTGAAGTTAGTGCTACTATACGGATCAGAGACTTGGCCAGTGCGTCATAAAGAGCATCTCAAACAAACTTCAGACCTTCATTAACAGCTGTCTCCGCTCAATACTGAAGATCAGATGGCCGGCCAGAAAAGATCAGCAACAGGGATCTCTGGGAGCGAACCAATCAGGAACCTATTGTGAAACAAATAGGCAGGAAGAAATGGAGATGGATTGGCCATACGCTGAGGAAACCATCAAGTGAGTGACATCACTAGACAAGCCACTGCTCGAGTGGAACCCGAAAGGGAGGCGGCGAGTTGGTCGTCAGTGCAAGGGTGACTTGGAGGAGGTCATGCGAGGAGGAGATGAAAGCATGTGGACAGACCTGGAGCAGGGTGAAAAAGTTGTCAGAAAACCGAAGGCAATGGAGGTGCTCAGCTGAAGCCCTATGTTCCTCTAGGAACTAAAGGATACAATAATAATAATAATAATTTAAATGGCATTATTCTCTACCCCACCTCTACTTAGTCTCTTCTACCTGTAATTACCTCGGTTGCTGCTCTGACCTAAGTTGAAACATTTTAGTCAATTATATTACGTCATCTAACTTACTAACTAACTAACTCAATCTCACTTTAGTTACTGACTAGCTGACCTTGTTTCTATATTAGATCATTCTTGTATTACCTAATTAATAATCTAAACTTGGCGAACCTCTTGTACGCACCCTCACACGCACACACAAAATCATTCTATACAAATGCGATTGTACAGCTATGTGAATGCATTCGCCGTCAAAAGAGTCTCTTCACTGAGCGTCTTCTCTTTTTCATATGACTCAATGGGAATTTTTAAGCTACTTAAATAGAATATCAACTAAAATTAGGAAAATTCCACAAAAAGATAATTGAGGATCATTCATACCTAGATGGCCAAGGTAAGGATAATGTCTGAACTAACTTCTTTTGGACGCACAAATTAGGTTTCTTAATATGAATCCCAACGGCCAGTCTCAGCAGTATTTGGTAAACGAACTCTTAAGGCGAAGTTCAGATTTGTTGGTTGTTATGTGGTAAATGACCATGAGAGCATGGTATTTCATTTCTAGACTCCATTATGACCATAAAACAGGATGGCACAGTAAGAAGAACTGTATATAGAAATCTCACATCAACGGGTCAGTATACTCATTTTCTCAGCTTCATGCCCTTGAAATACAAACGCAATCTGATAAAGTCCTTGGTCCGCCATAGAGCAAGAGCAACTGCTCGTATGAATCTCTTGATGAGTAACTTATTAATATTAAATGGTTGCTGAGTGAAAATGGTTATCCAGAAAAGTTTACTCATAAGAATATGAATCTAAAATCAAAGCAGCCCAAGGTACCAACAGTTCCTAAAAAGACCTTATTCTTACAAATGCAGTTCCTTGGGGACAACATCAGCTCCTTAGAAATGCAGTAAAAGGAGCATTCCCTGCCGCTCAGTTACGCTATGTCTTTAAAACCACTCCTCGTTTGCGTTCGGGAGTAAAAGAATAACTGCATAATTTCTCCTCTACCACGTGTATCTACCAATCTAACTGCTTCTGTGGAGTGAGTCAGTTACATGGGCCTCACAATTAGGCGGGTTTCTTGTCGGATTTCCGAACATCATCCTGCATAGTGGTTGGTTAAGTAAAGGACAAACAAAATCTATTCACATACCCCTGTTCAATCTCATCTTGTGGATACACAGAACACAAGATTGATGTCAACGAGGCAGCTTTCAAAGTCATTTACCGTATGCCATCAAACCTTAATTTCGCCTTAAGAGTTCGACTTCTAAATATTGCTGGTAATTGGGATCCACATTAAAAAGCCTAATTTGTGCGTCCAAAAGAAGTTAGTTGATATATTGTCCTTACTTTGGCTATCTAGGTTTGGATGATCCTGAATTTTTGTAGAATTTTCCTAATTTTAGTTGATATTTTATTTGCTAGTATATCTTTATTATGATTATTATAATTCAAGCATCTTTAATGAACTGTGGTAATTCCATTGTGATCATACGTCAAAAATCGATATTATTTAAAAGACACGCCGATATTGTTATTGACTACTACTCTAGAATATTCTATGCATATAAACACATGTATATATATGTATATAGAAGCAGAGGAGGAGAAAATTATTGAAAAGGATATTTTTTGTTCAATTATTTTGTGTTTTATAGATATCTGAATGAATATTTTTGTGCTATTACTTTCCATGACACACAAATGCAGTATCTGGTGTATAAACGTCTAATGAACAATAGATGTTTGGCTGAAGTCTCACTGAGAACATCATCATTTATTCGATACCAGTGTATATGGTTGATGATTCCCAAAAAAGACGAAACTCCAGCTTCTCTATATTCAAGTTTATATGAATCTCAAGTTTAAATTATATGATAATAAAATAACGATGATCATTATTATATGTGTATACACGTATAAGCAATAATGTGGTATGCATACTACACTTTCATTTTATACAAAAACTGCACATACATGATCCTAGCAAAACAAAAATGATCCATGTAGATCAGTTGAATAAGTAAAAATTGAAAGCTAGTTTTTTTTTCTCTTCTAATCTAGACACCATCATTCATTATTTCACGCATAATGAGATGATAAGTATTTAAATACTTTATATCTATTGTGAATTCTTTAATTCAAATAATCCGCACTATGTAATTTAAACAAAAGAGTTATGAGTGTGTGTGTGTGTATATCGCATGAGTCAGTCATCCCTTGAATTTCATTCGCATCACATGTATTTTTCTCTAGTTAGTTAGTTAGTTAGTTTGGTATGTTTATTGTTATATTTATGTATATAATATATGTCTAAGTTATCATTTTATAAACTATAATTGAGTGAAGTGTTTATTTGTTGGTTTTTCGAACGTTACATCCGCTTATCTTAAATATAAACAAACAACTATTGTACATTGAATTAATTCAATAGAATATACATATAATAAAATTTATTTAATTGTATTGTATTACTGTATCTTGTTTCAATGATAATTTGTAATTGTCAGGATAATAAACAGGCTATTCATCAGCTTAAAGTTCAATTGTAGAGTGGATTAAGTCATGAACAAGGCGAGTATCAGGAAAGGAAGACAAGCTTTCATCTCTCTATCAAGTCTGTGTCGAGGAGATCAACAGTACTCAGCATGAAAAACAAGATGCGGATTTTCAACTGCAATGTGAAGTCGGTGTTACTTTATGAATCAGAGAACACTTCGAACAAACTACACACATTCATCAACAGCTGTCTTCGCTCAGTACTTCACTCAAGATCAGATGGCCGGCCTGAAAAGATCAGCAACACGGAGGAATCTCTGGCAATGAACGAACCAGCCAGAAACCGATTGTGCAAAAATATGCTGGAACAAATGGAGGTAGGTGGATTGGAGTCCATACTCTGAGAAAACCATCAAGTGACATAACATGCCAGGCCATCACTCGAGTGGAACCCGAACGGGAAGCGGCGAGTTGGTTGTCCGAGGGTCACATGGAGGAGGTGATGCGAAGAGGAGATGAAAGCCTGTGGGCAGACATGGAGCCAGGTGAAAACGTTGGCAGAGAAGCGAACGCAATGGAGACGTGTGTGGCTGAAGTCCTATGTTCCTCTAGGAACTAAAAGAAACGATGATAAAAATAATATGATAAACGGCATTCGGACGATCACCATAATCTGTGAACCACACGCATTTCCTCCAGTTTTGGGAATCACTAAACATCTGCTTCCCTCTCAACCCACTAATAATCGAGCCGAACACCTTCAGATTACAAGGCAAATACCTTCATAATTGAGTCAGTCGCCTTGGATCTAACACCATATTGTTTTTAACTGCAGTCAATCCACCAAATAACGCCGTTTCCCAAGAATATCCCACATCAGTACGTGTCCACATGTGCGACTTGATGAATGCAACCAGTCACCAATTCATACGTTATGAAATGCCAGTCCATTAGCTCAACAGTATACGTCCACACTGAATACTCGAAAGATCCTCGATTCTACCTCCATTGGCTTGCACATAAGTTGAGGAATCTCATACTAGACAGAGATAGCTTTCATTCTAATTCAATGGATATCTAACTGACATCAGTTACCGATAAATTCTACCCAGAAATCAATTACATTTGCACAAAGTCGAATTTTGAACTGAAATTTAGATATATAGGTGACTGCGAAGCGCTCTTATTAAATTAAACCAGTCTGTAACGACCAAAGCCGACATGTTGCGGTCTGAACAGAGAAAACCGATTTTTGCGTTCTACAGTATAGCTGACCAAAACTTCCTCAAGTTACTCACAGTTACAACAACACTAAGTATTAGACCAAATTAAATAAAGTCTTTTCAGCAATACAATGAGAACTACCTACATAGTCTGTCTAAATGTACACAATTAGGAAGCATAAATGTGCACCTGAATTTAAGAGGATCAATAAATTTAAGCAAAACTTATGCACTGAAAAATTATATTTGAATTGCATATTCCCCTTCATCTATTGTATGTTCTTCTATATTAGATATATCACACAGTCAGTGAAACAGTATTATTTACTGGATGACACAATTTCGAACACAATTTATTGCTGTTCATAATCATTTCATCAATTATAATCACACAACTTCGAAACTTGACTTTTATAGTCTTCTATGTTCTCTCCTTTTTGTCATCGTTGGGGTAGTAGAATTTCCCAAATATTCGTCTGGGACAGGTGTTGAATCATTCCTATTACACGTGTTGGTTTGCAGTTGATTCGATAAACAAAGCTTCTGTTATCAACCTCTTCCTCCACCATGTAAACACGTGTAATAGGAATGATTCAACACCTGTCCTAGACGGATATCTGGAAATTTCTACTACCCCAACGATGACAAATAGGAGAGAACAAAGAAAACTATAAAACTCAATTTTCGAAGTCGTGTGATTATAATCGATGAAATGATTATGAACAGCAATAAATTGTGTTCGAAGCTGTCTCATTCAGTGAACAGTAATACTGTTTCACTGACTGTGTCATACATCTAATAAACAAATTAATATGGAATCGCATACTACAACAGTGCCCAAATTTTACACATACATTGTATGTTCTGCCCAAAAATAATCAGCTCAAAGTCTTAGTGTTCTTTCATTCCTCAACTTCGATTTTCTCTGTCTGTCTGACTCACTTGAGAAACATCATTTTTACAGTCTAATAATTGGGAAAATAGATGAGGCTGACAGCAGTTTAGTGACTTCATTTTCAACTATTGAGAATCATGAAGTTAGAAGTCCACTTCATATACGGAGGTTTAAGTATCCAGGTAGTATGATCAGTGGAAGAATAGTCAATGGGTTTTAACCTCGCCATCTGGAGGTCTTGGACTAGATCCCTTGTAAAAAGTGATGAATGAGCACTGTTGAAGAGTTCTAAAGCAGGACGAGATACCTCTCCAATGTTTCTGATTGACTAGATGTTGTACACCACTCAGATGAACCAGTAATGCTTGCCAGCCAACCAGATCGATGTGGTTCAAAAGACCAGGCCGGGCTCATCAGTGGTATGCTCGCCCGATTGTATTCAACTCAGACACTGAAAAATGCATGATGATGTGAATGGTAAGCAACTACTCATCTCATTGAATCAGTATTATAGTTTTGCGCATTTATCTAATCAATATGGCCTTAAAAGCAGTTGAAAAAGAACTAACTGCAGATCCTGAACTTACACATAGGACAAAGCTGCCCATTGAACAAATTATGTTAGGGATTCAGTTGTGTCTCACATCTACCATCTTTAACTTCTAAGGGAAAATATATAGACAAACAGAAGGTGTAGCGATGGGATGCATCACCAATATCCCCAATCGTAGCAGATATCTTTATGGAGACAGTTGTGAAAATATCGCTCTTAATACATTTAATCCTACTCCAAAGATAATATGGTGGAGATATGAGGATGACACTTCCACTCAGGGTGTTGAAAACAGAACATAACTCTCTCTAGCTTCTTCACACATATAAACTCACTAGTAGAGGGAATAAAATTCACATTTGAATCGGAAAATGAACAAGGAGAATTGGCTGTGATGTTAGATTGTAAAATAAAACGAATAGAAGAAGGTAAACTGCACACTAGCGTTTATAGAAGTTAACGCATTCTGCTAGTAGATATTTAGACTTAAATTCATCTCATCCGTTAAGTCTTAAAGCAAGCTTAGCTGAGTGTCTAACATAGCGAGCAGTAGCACTAAGTAGCACAAGAAAAGACCTAAATGATGAAATAAAACAGAAAGAATAGGCGTTGGTGTTAAATAACTATCCCATAACATTCATTGGGAAGATCGGAAAAGGCCAAAAGCAAATTAAAAATAATTGTGAAACTAGTAATGTTAACATAAATAAGAGAGAATATAAGTCATCTACTGTTATACCATATAAGGAGGGGATATCTGAGACCCTTAAAAAAGCAGGAATTAGGGTGGTGGCATTCAAACCTACTAACTCACTCAGGCAGGGACAAGCTCTGTAGGCTAAAAGACCCGGTAGACCCAATTAAATAAAATAATATAATTTACAAAATACCATTCAATAACTGTGAGTGAGGTCAAATACATAGGTCAAACTAGTAGGTTGGGGGTAATCAGATTGTCGGAACATAGGAATTTAGGTAAGGTAAGAATAGTTGACTCCGAGATGATAAATAATTTAGAAGAAAACAACTCAGCAATTGCATTACATGCATTAACACACAATCACAATAGAATGGGAGAGGGTTAGGATTCTAAGAAGTAATCTATGCAGGTGGAGAGAGAGAGAGAGATTGATCACTGAATCCTTCCTGGTTCGTCGAGTCTACACCCAACACATGCAACAGAAATGACTCAATGCAAATACCAGAGATATACATGGAAGATATTATTACCACCAGTCAGTCAGTCAAATCAGAGGAGGATAATAAATAATCTCAAAATTCTATTTCAAATCAAGCATATCACAACATTCTAACAAGTTACTTATTTATTTTGACTAAAGAAACACTCGTCTTATTCCCCATCTGATTGTAATTGATTGATAACACTCGTATTATTATTTCTGAATGTACATTATCCCATATTGATTTCTATTCAATCAAGTGTCTAATCATCAATTCCACTCATGTATATAAATGAAGGAAGAAAGTTGTGTGGGTGACTGACCTGATATGATTATGAGCAGTAATAATTTGTACTCATCAGTTAATATTACTGTATAACCACACTGTGTGACAATTTATCAAAATTTATCAAACCACAGTGCCCAAGTTTTACACTTATATCATTTATCCTTGCTTTCATGATTACCATTCAGAATATAAAGCACATTACATATTAAGTGATCTCAATAACTTTGGTTTCCAAAGGAAACTACAATGAAGTTTCACCTCCTCGAGCTGTGTAAATGCAGATTAAATAATTGATGTGATAGTGGTAAATTTGATTCCCTGTTCTGCTTCACCAGAGTACACGGGGGACCGGTGTGGTTATGCCATAAGATGAAACCATACACAGTCCTATTCTTACGAAAGCCTATGACTAGTGTTCTCTCGGAAACCAATCAATAGATATATTATTATGTGGTTGGAGATATTGCTCATTGACTTAAACAATGAACTCTCCAGGTTCGAACCCCCCACTCTATCTTATCCACTCAGGACAATTTATGAGACGTCCACTAAATAGTTGTGTGGTTCATTGTCTAGTACATGAGAAATCAGCCCCGGAGAAGTGAATTTTAATGCATTACTTATTTATCTCATTAATTAACAAGCCACTACAGAGTAGGCTGCATTCTTTCTTTCACCAATAAGAAGCGCAAATTGCATGTTCAAATATTTATAGTAACTCTTTATAACAATGAGTTCCATAAAAG